CTGTACCTTTCCCACCGGCACAGGGAACTGCTCGGAGTGGGTCTGCCTCAGGCCTGTCTGTAGTGTGTGTGTTCTTGGCTTCGTGTAGGAAAGATTTCACAATATGAGTCCAGGGGATTTCGAGAATACATTTATTAAGGCTGGGGACAGTGAAACAAAGGAAGGTCTTAATGTAGAGAAGTAACAGGAGAGAGCCTAGGCTTTGGCTCCCTAGAACAGTTATAGGAAGGGAGTGAGCCACGGGGGCTGCTGTTAGCTCCCTGGGAAGTCAGAGAAAAAGGGGGCCTCGGATAGAGGACTAGGGGGTAAGCCCTGGATGGGCTACCACTCCCCTTTGCTCCCCTTGCTGAAGGCCTTGTGGGGACTCTTAGAGTTTAGGAGGAAGTAAAAGTTCATGCCTGGGACGGGGCATGGACATGCCCTAGAGTGAGTCCGCCCTGAGTCTTTGTCCTGAGGCTTTTGTCTTTTTTCTGTGGGTGAGAATCTTAGGAGAGGGTTTCAGCAGAATGTTCATCAGCTTCCAGGTATATTTTTAATGCGCTGGTGCCAAAATGAGTGCATAGGAAGGTTTGGGAATACTCTTTGTCCTGCTATACTGTTTTACTTTTATCTTGGGTCTGTCTGGCTTTTAATGGGGTTTTTGTTAATTTGTTCCCCAGACTTATTCTGTCCTTGGGTTTAGCTGGCACAAGACATTAATGAGATCTCTGTTCTCTATTTCTGAGACCAGGGAGATTTAAGCTATGTGTTCTCTGGTTAGGGAGGAGAGGCATAAATCATTTGCTCTCCAGTGTCCTTGGTTGCGGGGGAGATAAGTTATTATGATTCACCAGTTGGCTGTAAGAAACCCAAACTGTTTGGCCTTGTTTAATTTCCTTGTCTCCATTTCCTCATTCTGCTTGCCCAGGAACTTTCCTCGCTTCTTACTGTCCCGCCTCACCTCCAAGTGATTTCCCCCATTTTCAGTGGTGAATAATATCAAAAGAGTTGCTTGCAGTCACTTGCCGCAAATTCTCACCCAGCTGCCTTAAACAGAAAACCAGTGAATGGGAAGCCATCCTTTTAGAGGTGCTTCATTCATCATAACACTTAATGTAGGCCAAGTTTTTGGCAATTTTCCTTTAAAAAATATTTTCATTTCTAGAATAACAAATCTTTGTGTTAGCTGGCAATGCCTTTACATTCCCCAAGCTATCAAAGGACTTGCTGTGGTATTCCACCTTGACCCATCTTCCTGGGCGATATTCTCTCCTGTTAAACCTTTCTTTATGGTGTGGCAAAAGAGGCTATACAATTAATTTTCCGAGTGATTTAGGCAATTGACTTTTCTGGGCTTAATTTTCCTGAAGTGAAAAGTAAGGTTTCGCACAGGTGGAAAGGGAAGGATTAAATGTCTCTGACATTTTCTCCCCTCAAAGCTACCATTGTCTAAGCCACTGGACTTGGTGACCAGTTGATTATGGAGGAAAAACGGTAGACCAGGACTGGAGTGGGTCTGCCTCGGGCCGGCCTGTAGGGTGTAGGTTCTTGGCTTTGTGCAGGAAAGATTTCACAACACAAGTTCATGTGATTTTGAGAGTATGCTTATTATAGCTGGGAACAGTGAAACAAGAAATGGAGCTAGAAGAAGCAGCAGAAGAGAGCCTAGCCAAGGCTGCTTTGGCTCACTGAGAAGTCAGAGAAAAGGGGGCCTTGGAGACTGGTTCAGGGGGTTAGTATGCAATGAGATGCTGCTGCCCACTGCTCCCCTGGTTGCAAGTCTCATAGAGACTCATAGATTTTAGGAGATGTGTGTCAGTGGGGGAAGAACGGGGGGAAGAGAAAGGCACAGTTGTGCCCCCAGGAGAAAGAGCTCCTGCTGGGACATTTGTTTTCAGGGTTTTCACAGCTGGGATGTTAGGGGTGGTCTTAAGGGAGATCGCAATCGAATATTCATCAGCTTTTCCAGGTGTGTCCTTTCAGGGTTGTGGTCTCTACTGATTGGCGGGTGTCAGAACAGGGAGGTCATTAGTCATTGCAGTTGGTCCTGGCATAGCCACCTGGTTTTGCTGCTTTTCTTGGCCTGGAGCTGAAATGCAACTGAGGCCAAGATGGGAGGAAAGGTGAAGGGGATGTAAACACCATGACCAGAGATATGAAAGGTCAAGGGTCTAAAATGCATGGCCAGTGATATGCCAGGGGTGGATAGGCCACTTTTGCTGTTGCTAGTCACCCAGTCTTCCTGCCCCAGTGCTCTTATGTATCTGGATGTAAATTGCTTGGCCAGTGTGTGCAACTGTCTGCTTCAGTTACCCCATTCCACCTGCCTAGGAATTTTCCTAGCTTCTTACTATCCTGCCTCATAAAGATTTAATTTTGTAGCCTGATTTTGGGGATGCCTTTAAAGGAGAATAATAGATGTGAATGAGAGGCAGGATTCGAGGAGAGAATGTTGATTTTTGTTTGGACAATTTGATTATGAGCTTCTTCTTAGGAAGAAGTTAGGAATGCAAACTAGAAATCCAGAGTGAGAGGTTCTCGGTAAAAGTGTAGATTTAAAAAACATTGATATAGGAGAAATACCCAAAATCTTATGAATAAGATCTTCAAGGATAGAGTATAGAGCTGGAAGGAAAAAGAGATGGTGGAGGACAGAAGGAAGAAGAGAAGCAGAAATTTTACTGAGAAATTCTATAATACTTTTGATTTTTTGACAAGAAACAAAGGGGCATACCATAGTGTCAAATGCCGCCAACACACAGGTACAAGAAAATAGAGGGGTTATCAAATAGGATATTTTGGAGGCCATTGATATGACCTTTATGGAGCCATTTCTATAAACTGTAGAATATACCACTCCTTGCATATACCAAAGAGAATAGAAAACATAGGCCCACACAAACACTATACACGAATGTCCATAGCAGCATTTCTTCTAATACTCCCAAGGTGGAAATAACCCAAATTCCGATCAACTGATGAATGCGTTAAAAATGATATATTTATGTAGTGGAATGTTATTTGGCAATTAAAAGGAATGAAGTATTGATACATGCTACAGCTTGGATGAATCTTGTAAACATTATCCTAACTGAAAGAATTCAGTCACAAAAGGCCACATAGTGTATGATTCCATTTATATGGTGTCCAGAATAGGGAAATCCATAGATTAGTGACTGACAGGGGCTGGGGGAATAGGGAGTGACTGCCAAAGAACATGGGGTTTCTTCTTGGGGTAACGAAAATGTCCTGGTACTGAAGAGTGGGTATGGTTGTACCACTCTGTGAATATACTAAACCCACTAACTTGTACATTTTAAAAGTATGAGTTGTACCTCAAAAAAGCTGTTATTAAAAAAACATATGTATTGATATATTGCATATGCTTTAAAACAATTTCCAATATTACTTTTAATTGTTGCTAGTTCCTAACTATCCAGATTGATTTAATTTTTTAACTCTCTGTGGGTCCATAGAGCATGGAGAAAATAGGGGCGGTGACACCTACCTAATAGTAGCTACATAAGGGAAAGCCAAATGGAGGTGCTGCCGTTCAGAATGTAGAAAGAAATGGTGCTTTCATTCTTCCAAATACATGCTGGAATTACAATGCATTGTGAAGTATAAATTTGCTGGACTGATTTCATGAATAAAAAAGAATGATTCATAATTATTTCTATCCACTTATCCAGTAACTTTGGTCTGCATCAACAGTGACTTGTTCAATTTTAAGTAAATGGGTACCTCTTAAAATGCTTGAATACTATTTTATTAAGCAGGTTAAGTATCACCCTGAAATCTTATACAGGGTTGGGCAAAAATAGATTTACTGTGCCATTGTGACATTCTTTTGAGTCAGTAAAATTATTGTAATAAATCATAACCTTTTGTCTTTCTGTACAAACAACTGTAAACTTATTTTGCTCACTCTTCTATACGTTTATTTGCTTTGCAAGCCTTTCTTTAAAAGGTAATTGTACCAAACAATTTTGTATTGCTTGGTTTACAGAACATTTTCACGTCTATGTAATTTATTTATTTCTCAAAATAACTCCCTGGATCCCACCTGACACTTGTGCTCTCCCTCCCCGTTCAGTCAGCTAGTCACAAAGTTCTGGCCAATTTCCCTCTTCATTACCTGTCCGAGCTGCCTGCCTCTCCCCATCCTCATGGCCAGCAGCCCAGTCCATGCGTCCAGCATGTCTTTCCCATGACTCTTACCCTACCTCAATCCATTTTCATAAGCAGGAGTTATTTTCTATGCAACTCTGATCATGTCACTCTCCTCTTAAAAGTCTCCATGTTGTTCCCATTGCTCTGAAGATAAACCCCAAATATTTAAAATAACCTGGGTTTCTAGTTGCTCCTCTGACATATTCAGGCATTTGGGTGCTTTCTCCAGCTTCCCTGGAAATTCCTCTCCCCTTGGCTCTCTGGACCAGCCACACTGGGTTTCTTTCAGTCCTGTACCATGCTACATGCCTCAGGGCCTTTGCATGGGCGGTTCTCTTTGCCTGGAATGTTTTTCCACAGCATCTGGTTTACTCTTCCTCACCATTCAGGCCTCAACATAAATGTCACCTTCTCAGGGAAGCCTTCCCACCATCTTGTTTCAGGATACAAACCTTACTATATTTCTTCTCCATGTACTTCTTTTAGCACTCATCAAAATGGCAATTAATGTTTTTTATTAATGTTAAAAGATACCAACCTTCTTTCCTTTTTCCACTCTTGCTGTACAGTGAGCTTATTCTTGTCTTTGGAGTCAAGATTAACTGTCCCTGTTCAAGTGGCTACCACTCTATGAAGAAGGCATCTCCCGCTTCAGTTTCATTTATTTATGAATTATTTTCTCCCCGTCTTCTCTCCAATACAATCACCATAGAAACATATGCGACTTGTTCATTGCTGGATTTCCAGAGTCTAGAACCATATCTGCTGCTTTATGTACATGTGTTAAGTGAATAAATGAATGAACCCTACCAGACAGGCAGTTCAGATACCAGTGCTCAGTTTTATAGATGGAGAAATGGAGTTCAACAAATGCAGTCAAGTGTGGCTTCACTCCTGTCCTTAGTAAGTGGCAGTTCCAGAACTAGAACCCAGAAGGTCTGTTTTCTAATCCTATATTCTTTACGCAAGTAAAATTTGGGCCCCAGTCTTTACTTGAGTAATACAAAAGCGACCACTCTTTTGGCTGACACTGAACTAGGCATATGATGATGCTTCACTGGAGAAGGTGTAATGAGCGATTATATTAACTTGGAGCTATTTTATTGCATGGGATACTGTTAGAGGCGGAGGTATTTGTTTTTGTTTTTGTTTTTTGAGGGAGGGTGGGAATTGGTTTGCTTGTTTTTTCAGATGGGCCTAGTGTACAGTTTATAGATTAATCATCGGGCATTTAATCAGGCTTTCAGAAGCTGAGTATATGATTGGCATCTTACTTTGTTAGTCACTGCCCTTAATTATGCATTTAATTCATAAGGCGAGAACCTCACTTATAAATTGGAATGAGATGAGGAGACAAAGAACACCGTTCTCATCGAGCATTGCTTGTCAGAGAGGAGGAGTCCAGTGGAGGCCTAGAGGAGGGTAGGGCCGGGGCAGCACGTGTATTTTTCATGTCATGTCTGGCAGGAGCATCTGGACGAGGTCTAAGATCCAAACCCCTGGCCCTGGAACAGAGTTTGGAAAGACCAAAGGGGAGATTCATCTGTGAGGGATCCCCTTTCCTTAATTTGGGTCAAGGAGTCTGTGTGTTTCGGGGGCCCTCTCAGGGCCCGGGTTTGCTCCATTATATGCTTGGAAACCCCATCAAAGGAGGGAATGGGGAGATGAATGCAGATCAAGTCCTGTTGGGGCAGCAGGGGTGGGCGTGGGCTTTTTCAAATTCCGGAGCTCATCTAACCTGGGGTTCCTGAGAAATCAGAAAACAGTCCCTGGAGAATTCGGATTACTACCCTCAATCCTGTTCACCGCAGTTCATGTACCACTACAGAAACTGGTAGTTGAATATTCTTGAGTTAGTAATACCCCAAATCAACTAGTCTCTTTCCTCTTGCATTCATATTTACAGTCTGTGTCCATTGGGCTCCCTGAATGTTGTTATTGCAACCTCAGGTAGTTGACTTGTGTTAGAGGTTTACTCTCTAGCTGGGAAGTATTGCTTATTTTAAGATATTCACACAGTCCTGACATTTTTCAGACGTGTGTTACCATGTAGGGGATTCTCACCGAAGAGAATTCTCAGCAAAACTTTGGTTGCTTGCCCCTGCTTCTCTGGTCCACTGTAGTTCTATCTCTTCCTGTTAGAAAGGTGATGCAGCTGAGGGTGAAGAGACCAGTTAGAAATGTCATGGCTCTGCGACTTGGTGGTGGTGACATTGCTGACAAGTCATTTCCTCTTCTGAGTCTCAATCTCTTCAATGAAATAGGAATACTGTCATTTGTCTGACTTACTTGTCAGGTGGACTGTGGGGATCGCATGGAAGATGTATGAGAAAAATCCTTGGACATGAACAAATTGTACACCAAGTCTAGTTACAGTTGCAATAGAAGTAAATTTCTGGGAAATTATGCTTTTTCCCCACTCTAGACCATACTGTGTATCTTTATGTTGTGAATCATCCCCATGTGGAGTCCACTGTGGAGATATTTAAATTTGAGGAACAACAACGTTCTCTGGTTCACCTGAAAATTATAGAACACGAACTTCTCCAAAGGTATGGAATTAAAGTATTTTGCACTTCTATTTATTTTGCACCTCTGCTATGGGCTTTGTTTTCTTGGGCTCAGCAGGTTTTCTTAAACTTCTGTTTTGTAGCATTGTTTTCTGAAGCTTTCTAAGGGTTCCCATGGTGATACTGCCCAGCACCTCAGTAAAAATTGCTGTGTAAGTATTGAATGTCTTTATATTCTCCAACTTCTTGAAAGCATTTTAATCCTGTAAAGGTGCTCAGTTAGATTCCCAGCTCTAATTCCATCCTCTGTACCACGACAATGCAGTACCGACTATGGGGCTCTCTTTAAACACCTACAGCCATTTCTAGTTATCATGGTAGGTTGTGTTCTGAGAGCTGCACCCACTGGGTGTTATAACCAACCTCCCGATGGGCTCTTCCTTTGTTCAGTGAGAGCGTTAAAGTGGAATTTTTAAAAAGCCTATGGGCACATGTAAAAAATTCACATTTATCAAGTTTTGATGATGTGCCAGGCACTGTACCAAAATACTTAATTTAATTCTCACAATGGCCTCTGGTAATAGGCATGAGTAAACTGAGACTTGGAGTTTTAGATTAAGTAATTGCCCATGTTACATAATTTTTAAGTGGTAGAACCAGAATATAAACCTAGATCTGTCTGAATTCAAAGCTGGGCTCTCAATCACAGTGAGAAACATCTTCCTTATTGTGCTGGAAAAAAATAGTAAGTTTTTTAGTGTATAGGTTGCCTGTTTCAAGGCTCTAACAAACAATGAAGACTTCGTCATTTATAAAATGGACCCAACATTGAAAGATGGGTTCTAAAACAGTAGAGGTTAATCTTTCCATGAGACAGAAGAATGGGAAAAGAAAAGAAAGTTCACCTTCTCGTCTTTGTTCTCTTAACATCGTGTATGAACTTCTCCCATGGAATCCGGGAGCAATAAAAGCAGAGGGCAGAAGCAGTGAAGTTACCGAACTCCATTCATGATACATCGTGGTGGGCTCTGAGGCACAGTGGGGACCAGGGTGACCATGCCGTGGAGTGACTGAGAAACTGGACAAGCCGCTAAACCTGTGCTTCAGTTTTCTCAGAAAATGTGAATTCTCTTATGGCCTAACTCATCTGACTGGGGATTGTGAGGATCAAATGCAATAACATATGACCTCATGGGAAGAGTTCCTCAGAAATCATATTCTGGAGGAAAACTCCATATATGAATACTTGATTAGGGAGTACAATTCCAGGATCCAAAAGTGAGAGACCAGCCTGAGGCAGGGCAAAGAGGGTTGTGGGTTGAATGAATTGTGTTCTCTGAAAAAGATATGTTGCAATATTAACTGCAATATTTCAGAACGTGACCTGATTTAGAAATAGGATAATTGGTTGATATTGGTGGGACCTTAATCCAATATGATTGGCGTCCTTAGAAGGAAACAGACAGACTCATAGGGAGAATGTCTTGTGAAGCTGGAGAGTGAGCTTGGAGTGATGCATCTACAAGCCAAGGAACACCTGGGGCTGCTAGAAGCAGGAAGAGACAAGGAAAGATCCTACCACAGAATCTTCAGGGGAGCATGGCCCTGTCAGTGCCTTGATTTCAGACTTCTAGCCTCCAGAACTGCAAGACAGCATATTTCTGTTGGTTTATGCCACCAAGCTTGTGGTGCTTTATTGTGGCAGCAGTTCTAGACATTCACACGGAGGAGAGTCTATAGCAAATACATTATCAAGTCAGCCACTGCTAAATGCATGGAGTCATACTCCAGTAAGCCACATAAGATCAATGTGGTCAGGGTAAGAAAGGGAAAAGAGCTTACTCACCAGCCCTATCTCTCAGGAATCAAAAGTTTACCTCAAGGGGTGTTGCACTCCTGTACACACATAAGTCATAAATTGTGTCTGGTGACATCCTGTGTTTTGGACACACACACTGAACAAGCATTTTAAGGGATAGAACAAGGTGCTATGAAAATACCTTATGAGGAAATTCAATTTAATCTATGGGGTCAGGAAGTACTTTTTAAAGAAAAGAATGCTAAGACCCAAAAGATCAGTAGCCCAATGACCTTGGGGAAGTCATTATACATCAAAAGCTCAGAATATTTCCCTGATTCATTCAAATGTTTTTCCAAATTTAACCTAAAAAGATTTATTTTTTAAGTCACTGTTTCTTTTTTACTTTTCCAAAATTGAAATGACTTTTTTTTTTTAGTATTATAAGAGTACTTGCTTCTTCTAAAAATGTTAATAGTATCAAAGAACATAACTAAGAAAGAATAGCACTTATAATTTCACCTACTCAGAGAAAATACAAAGATCATGATAAATTGGATTATGCTAGAATAGCAGAAAAGGAAAACCCTAACCCGTCTAAGGGTTCAAAACCACAAAGTCTCGTTTGGTTTTCTCACTCACTCCATATCTCTCATGTAGGTGATACAGGGATTCAGTTTTATACAATCCTCATGTAGGGCCCTAGCGGGACCACACGGTGTATCATCAGGAAAGTTGCTGGCTCCTGTGGAAGACTGAGGGAAGCATGGTAGGTCACAAGCTGGCTCTTGAAGTCTTCCATCTGAAATCCACACACATCACTTCATTCCATTTGCCAGAGCAAGTGGGATGGCCATGCCTAACATCAAGGGCGTTAGAGAAGCCTAATTCCAGAAAGAGGAGAACCAGAACTATTGGTGAACTGTACTATGACTGCCATAGATTACTCTTATAAACATTTATACATCAAAGATTTGGGGTTTGAGGCTTATTTGTAGACTCGCTTGTTTTTGCTGACTTTTGCAGAAGGAAGGGGTGAGAAAACAAACAGTTTTCAAAAAATCCCATTAAGGCAATGAAAATTCATGTACTTTCTGTGGATTTTTAAAATTCATATTAGCTTATGTATACTTTTTCAAAGTGACGAACATATTGGTCTTTGTAGAGATTTGGTGACTTTGACAACAATCACTATTTAAAAATACCCCATGGGTTCTCTCTTTCTCTCTCCACTTTAGTGTGAATGACATTGTAGTTCTCGGACCAGAAGAGTTCTATGCCACCAGAGACCACTATCTCACCGGCTACTTGTCACTATTAGAGCTGATCATGGATCTTCACTGGACTTACGTTCTTTTCTATAGTCCAAGAGAAGTCAAAGTAGTGGCCAGAGGATTTAGTTCTGCCAATGGGATCACAATCTCACCAGACAAAAAGTAAGTGAGCTCTTTTATGATTTTCCTACCCTTTGGCCTTGACATTTTAGTGGACTCCTTCCCTTAAGAGATGGGTTCCTTCCTTAGCTTAAGTAGTCAATACATGTGTGGAGGGATCAGCAGTAGTTGGGGTTTTTACTAAATGTGTGATCTTAAGCAAACCATTTGCCTTCTTGTCCTTTAGGCTTCCCCCCAAATGAAATGAGGAATTTCAATTCAAGGATATAAAGTCCTTTTTAAAAATTTTTCTTATGTAACTCTAGAAAATACACTTAACACACCAAAAAGGAAAGTGAAGGTATACTACCTCTGCCCCTTATGAGGTTGGAAGGCCTTTAACCTCTTATACTAAGTTCAGTTACCCAAAAGTTCTTATTAGAAATGGAGGCCCAAATTAGACTGGACATTGCAATTGTATAAATTTCAGACTTACTGATTCTCTGCAGTAGAGTTTTCTATGAGAAAATACTTTTAATGAATCATGAATTTTTATGGAAAATTCTTTTAAAGTGTTTTAAAATGGAAGGTTTTTTTAAAAAAGAAAAGTACCATAACAACATAAATTTGAGATAATGAATAGAGATGATACCTGTGGAAAACAACACTAAGTGTCCTTGGTCCTTTTAGAAATGATTGTGATTGAGTTTCATGGCCATCTGATTGTTCTTTCCAAAGTCTAGTTCTTGGAAGTATAGACTCTTTTTGTCTTATAAGAGGTCCACTTACCTCCATTCAATTTAAAGGTCTACTTACCTTCATTCAATTAAAAGAGTCCCAAGTAATGAGATTGACTTTATATGTCATCTAGAAACACCAATTTCATTACTTTATCGTCATATCATATACTCAAAGCTTATTTAAAGCACTTCAAGAATATTAAAAATACCACTCCATTATCTTTTTTTTTTTTTTGCTGTGGTTTAGAAAGCCATTGTAGTGTGTCTTGAACTATTGTGAATTTTTATACATCATACCAAAATACAATTTAGTGTCATCTTTTAATGTTACTTGCCTAAATGTAAATGTGATTTACTTCAAAGGTATATCTATGTAGCTTATGTAATGGACAAGAACATTCATGTAATGAAAATGCATGATAACTGGGATTTAACTCGACTGAAGGTAGAAGTACCCTGGCTGGCAACACAACATGGCCTCTTATATTAGTTCCCATGGCTTGACCTAGGAATGCACTCCCTGAATGAAGGAAACATGTCAATTAAAAAAAAAATGATGGTGAGGGTATGCTTGCACTTCTAAAATTCAGCAACCAAGTCCATTAGCAATACTAATTTCAGGAGCCAGAAGGAACTGGTGCAAGGGAGGAGGGGTAAGGAAGAAAGTCAGAGCAACATCTTCACGACTTTCTTTTTGTTGGAAGGTAATACAGTTGGGCATGCTCATGGATAACTTAACTGTTGATCCTGACACAGGAGATATTCTGGCAGGATGCCATCCTAATGCCATGAAGCTGTTCATCTATAACCCTGAGGATCCTCCAGGGTCAGAAGTAAGTTCCTATATTTCTCTGAGCTCACAGGCAAGGCTATAAGACAACTTGTTGAGGTGACTTGGGAGAATTTAGTGGGTCACATAATGTTCCAGAAATAAGCAGATGTACATACGGAAAGACTAAAGGTCTTGCCAGGATGAGGAGATCATAGCCCATAAGCCCTTTCAGGTTACAGGGTACCAATTTAACATCAGTGTTAGGCAATGCACCCTATCCTAGAAAAAGCTCCACTTTACCACTAGGAATAGTGGGGAAATATGTACTTGATTATTCATATTGACCAGGATTGCTATTTATATTTTCAGTCAGGATGGAGACTCAGAGCAGGCCCTGAGGAGAGAGATGTATGGAACCAACTTCTTTCACATGACTAGACATGAAGCTCAAATGAAAGGGTTTCAATGACTGTAGCCTCAAAACAAAAGCAACTTTTTATCACCAGGTTCTAATATATATGGTAGTGTTAAAGAATGTCTCATTTTAAAGATGTTATCTGTGTTATTTAACATCTCTTCTAAAATGATAATGTATACCATTGAAGTTTACATGGCATTAAAAACAGAAGCATAATACATTGCATTTTCTATAGCAGTGAGTTTAAGAATAAAAAAAACTCAAGTGAATTTAAATATAGACATAACTTCTTGGCAGATATACTCTGAGATATTTAGTCACAAAAATGTATTGAACACATATACTATTCCCAGACTTTGTTTTCATGCTTGGGATTTATCAGCAAACAAAATATACAAAAATCCTTGCTCTTAGGGAGGGGGACAGACAGTAAAGAAATATTTTTATATTTCTTTATAGAAAGCATAAGAAATAGTCAATTACATAATAAGTTTGAAGGTGATAAATTCTTTGGGGAAAAGAGTGTAATGAACAGGATCAGGATGAGTGTGAACAGGGGGATGGGCAGGTCCTGTGATTAAATACAGAGATTAGGATAGGCAATTAGGTTTGAAGAAAGAAACCATGTTTGAATCCGGGTTCCAGCCAAACCCTGGCCTCCTAATTGACCCGTGGGTGAATTAGTACATACAATTATCTCTGCTTCCAATACAAGGGGGGATCCCCCAAAACCGGAAGATATTTATTAAGTATTGTATATTTATTTGTACATGTTTAAACTTCAGTCACCTTCAAAGAACTCTCCATTTGATGCAATACGCCTATGGAAATGTTTTTTCTACTACTTAAAACAGTTTTTGAACTCGATGATGTTGCTGCCTTTCAGCGCTTCTTCCATTTTTTGTTTCACCTCTTCCACATTGGCAAAACATTTCCCTTTGAGGACTTTTTTTTATCCAGGGAAACAAACAAAAAAAAAAGTCATTGGGGGTGAGATCTGGTGAATAGGGAGAGCGGGGCACAAGGGTCATGCCATTTTTAGTCAAAAACTGCTGAACACTCAGCGCACTGTGGGCTAGTGTGCTCATAAATCACCCGTCATGAAATGGGCCAACGTGTAAAAAAGAGTCTTCAAAAAAATATTCACAGAAGCCCAATGCAGCTTCTCAGAACAAGGCTGCAGGTACACTGATACAGATGGGTTCCTAGAACACTCGCCTCGCCCTCCAGAAGATAATTTTGTGGTTTTTTATGAGGGGGGCCCTCCCTTGTATTCCTTTTCTTCAGTTTTTAAAAATTGTTTCTCTTAACATATTAGTCATATCAGCTTCTTCAAAAAAGAAAGAAAAAGCAACAACAAGAAATGTAGAGAGAAACAAAAGGCCAGCCTGAACCTAAAGCCTGAAGAATTGTTGCCCTGAACTACTAGCACGCTACCCTTGTATCAGATATGTACCCCACCCAAAATTGATAACTATTCTACAGACACCCAACAAAAGTGTTTGCTTTAAGAGACTGAAAATACAGTCTATACAGCAATTTGAGAATTGTTCAGGATCTTTTACGTGTCTGTGTTTTCAAGTGTAATCATCCGATTACTTTAGATAAGACTTTTCTTCACGATCACTGACACCCTTTCTTTTTGGTTGAAGCTAATGTTTTCTACATGAGTTCCAAGCTTGACTATTTTCCTGTAACGAACCTGAGATGAACTTGGAGGATTTTCCTTACAATAAAAAAACAAACAAAACTCAACTAAACTATTCTAATAAGAGATGTCATTATAGACCCATGACTTGTGAATTTCGAATTGGTTTTCTTTAATTCCTTTCGCATCCTGTTTGAATGAACTTCATCTGGTCTCTTTGGAAACCTGAGCACTTCTATATTTATTGATTAGCAACCTAAAGTATGTTGATCCTGGGGATAAATAGCAGTATGAAGTAAGGATGAGTCCAATTGAATTCCTAAATATGCGTTCTTTATGCTTCCTAGCCACTTCTGGAGTGGAGGGAATGCCAGCTGGGATGACTACATTCCTACTGGCTACCAGGTTGGGATGGCTTACTAACTATATGTCCTTTTTTCATTCCTTCCTGTGTTTCTGCTGAAGATATGTCTAATGTCAGAAAACTAGACCACAGGACTGCATAGATATCATTAGGACATTAATACTTTCCTCATCAGAAGAAAATGATTAAAGATAAACAAATTTTAGCTTACTGATTTCTGAGAAAGATATTAGTCTTAGAGTAATTGGGAAGGAAAATGTCACCGATAGCTGTTTGGTCATACAGTGTACTAACAAATGATCTTCTCTTGGCAGGTTCTTCAAATCCATAATGTTCTGTCTGAGAAGCCCCAGATAAGCACTGTGTATGTCAATAATGGCTCTGTGCTTCAGGCCAGCACTGTGGCTTCGGTATATAACAGGAAGCTTCTCATAGGAACCATATATCACAAAGCTCTGTACTGTGTGCTCTAGACTCCAGATAATCCGAAAAGTCTACATGTTTGGTAAAAGTAAACTCATTCTATGAGAAGTGGGACTGCAAGTAAATGATGAACACCAACAAAAATATGTCTGGCTTTTCTTATGGATAGAAGTAAAGAAGCAGCGAGGTTACCTAATAGTCACCAAATTGAAAGTCAAGATAGTAACAGTCCAGCAAAAAGCCAAATCTCTCAACTCTTTTTCTCTAGCATCCCCAATGTTCTTTCCACAGGAGGATGTGGTGAGTGAGGTGTCCAGCTCCCTAGGACTCCTTATAACTGTGTGGCAAAATCACCCCCGAGAACTGTCATGTTTTGAACCTTCCGCCATCTAGACTGGGAGAAAAGCTAGCATTCCAATACTTACCACCCCTTTCTCTGCCTTCATTGTGCTAGGCACAAACTGATAATCAAATGCCCAGTGCATGGATAAAAGCAAGAACTGGCACCATGAGACTCCCCAGAAACCTCCTCAAACTTGCATTTTCCCCAGTACAGACACAGGAATTCAGGTGCAGGAAATCCTGACTGAGAGAGGCCTCGCTTAGGGCAATCAGGGCTGATCTCTTCGTTTGGGATAGGTCTTTCTCTGTACAATAGTTGACCCTATCTGTGGTTTCACCTTCTGAAGTTTCAGTTAATTACCCATGGTCAATCGCAGTCCAAATTTATTAAATGAAAAATGCCAGAAATAAACAAAAGTTTTACATTGCACCGCGTTCCGCATAGCACGATGGAATCTTGAGCCATTCAGTCCCTTCTGCCCAGGACGTGACTTGTCCCCTTGTTTAGCGTCTCCACGCTGTCTATGCTCCCTGCCCACTAATCACTCAGTGGCCCCCTGGGTTATCACATTGACTGTCATGTGGAATCATAGCGCTTGTGTTGAAGCAATGCTTGTTTTACCTAACAATGGCCCCAGAGCTATCACCTCACTTTTATTACAGTATATTGTCACAATTGTTCTATTTGATTAGTTATTGTTAATCTTTTCCTGTGCCTAATTTATAGGTTAAACTTTATAATACAGAGGTGGGAAAAAGTAGGTTTACAGTGGTAATACAAAGAAATCATACAATAATTAATAAATAACACAAGAATAACCTTTTGCATACTCACAACTGTAAACCTACTTTTGCCCATCCTTGTAAGTATGTACGTATAGGACAAAACATAGTATATATAGGGTTCGGCACTATCCACAGCTCCAGGTGTCCACTGGGGGTTTTGGAACATACTGCCCACAGGTAAGGGGAGACTATTCTAGTGATTTCTGAATCTGAAGTATTGTCCTCAGCTCGGCTCCAAACCATGAGACGGAGACTCAGAGATGTTACCTTTCAGTACTTCAGGCTCATTTTCCTGGTTAATGCAATAAACACTTATTTATTAAGCAACGTCCTATGGAGTTGGCCCTGAGGAATCAGAAATAACATGATTCTGGCCTAAAGTTCTATCTTAAGGATCAACTTAACCTTAGTTTTATTAGAATTAGTAGAAACGTCCCTCTCTAGGTCAAACACCAGGACAGCCTTTAGCGAATCATTAATGGAAATTGGCATATCCAAACAACCTACCCCCTCCCTTTCTCTGACTTTTATTGGAAAGGGATTGGTTTGGTGTTTTGGTTTTTTTTTTTTTTCTTTTTGTCTATCTCTCCCTTCTGAGAATAGAGAGCTGGGGAGGCCTCTTTATTCCCTAGAGAATTTTGCTCTGTTAGATGAACGTGTTGCTGAAAAGTTTTGTAGCAGGGTAAAATTCTACTTTTTGGCCCATGTAACTCTCTGATTTAGAGTAAGGCCGAAGTTTCATTGCTTCAGGGGAGGAATAACTCAGCAGAATGTTATAGTCAGTTCTTGGATTCTAAGTTCCAAAAGCTTAACAATCAGGTGGACACTGAAAAAATTATAACTGAGCATGTGTACCAGTTTTGAAAAATTATGGTCTTTTGTTTTTCCTGTCCCCACTAAATTAAATTTTACCAGATTAGGGAGACCATGGCGAGTCAGAGGTGGGAAACCTAAGGGAATTTAGATGCTGGTGGGTTCCTGACAGCTGGCCCCGCCCTACCTTCTCCCTAGACCGAGTAAGGAAAAGGCGGCTGATAAAATCCCCAGAAAGATGTGGGGGATCTGACTGTGGAGGGACCTATGTGGGCTTTCACAGGCAGGAGGGCCTCGGAAAGCCAGAAGGCACTGAGGTTCCTCTGCATGTAGACACTCCCAATCTTTATGTCCTTATTTTGAGCCTCTTTTCTCACCTAGCTCGGGAAGGACAGGGATGCCCCTCACCATGAATGCCGCATTTCAATGACGCACTGTCCTCCCTTTCCACGTCTTTCTGTTTAAATGATCAGAGATATGGGTGTCAATACTAGGGTAATGATTAGCGGTAGTTGAGCTCAGGAAAAAGAGTAGTAGGGATAACAAAACCAACATGGTAGACGCTACAAGACGGCCCCAATGAGCCTTCCCTCCTGGTGCCCATTCCCGCGTGGAGCTCCCTCCCGCGTGGAATATGGCTGACCTGTGTGAACAATACATATAGTAGAAACGATGATGTCTGACTGCTGAGGCTACCTTACATAAAAAACTCGCCATAGCTTCTTGCTCACAAAAACTGGGTAGCCTCTGAACTCTGTTTCCTCAATTCTAGTCGAACTAAGGAGTTAATGTTATTTTTATAATCCAACTTCTAGGTTCAAATTTTTACGTTTTCAAGGTCGCACTAAGCTATTGTAACAAAGTGACTCTAAATCAAGTGGTTTCAAGAATATAGACAAGTTATTTCCATTGACATCCTACTAATATGAGCGTAGTCATACGACTATACCTAATTGGAAGGGAAGCTGGGAAGTTTACTTCATCTGGGTAACCTTGTGCCCAGAAAGGAGGGATTTGGGTAGATAGCTAGTGTCCACAACCACAGCTCTTTAAAATGACTCAAAAAGAGTTTGGAAATCATAATTCTAAAACCATTCAAGAAACTTGAGTTAGTAATTTAAAAATCTTTACATTAAAGGAAATTAAAAACTAGAGACAAGTGCTGATAAAGTTAAAATAGATAAGTAACTTATAGTTAATTCATGTAATGAAACACTATACAGCAGTGTATACCACAACCAGAGCTACGTGCAATGACAGGGATAAATTTTACAACTAATATTGATCTAAATAAACCAAAAATAAATACATGTGTATAATTTTATTTGGGGAAAATTCCAGAACAGACCAAATTAAACAATGTTCATTTAAGGATGCCTGCATAGGCGGTTAAGTTAAAGAGAATAGGGAGTGCCGTCCTGCACACCGAGAGGGTTGCATGTTCAGTTCCCTTCCCCCAGCTGGGGCACACGCAGGAGGCAACCATTCCATGTTTCTCTCTCACATCAGTGTTTTTCTCTTTCTTGCCCTCTTCCCCTCTCTCTAAAATCAATAAAAATATCCTCGGGTGAGGATTAAAAATAATAAATAAGTACATAAGTTAGTAAATAAATAAACAAAATGTACTTTAAAAAGTTAGGATACTGGTTGCCTCTAGGGAAGATGGCAATTGTGGTCAGGGCAAGATACACAGGAAACTTCTAGAGCGTTGGCAATGTTACATTTGCTGATCTGGACTATAGCTTACATTCATATTTCTTTATAATTACTCTATAATTATACATATGTATTTTATAAACACTAAGGTATACATGATATATCTCACAATAGGTTTTTCACACATATGTAAAAGCTAAGTCAACTTCAAAAAATAAAATGAAGGGCAGGGATATGCCTAATAAAAATGACTTAGCATATGTGCAAGGAAAAAACAAATAAATGGAATAGAAATAAAGATCTGAGACATATTTTTCTTTAGGGAATTAGCATAAGATTAAGTTAGCAGTACCAATTAATAGGGAAAGGATGTTTGTTTAGGGCATGGTGTTGGGAGGATGTACTCACTCTATGGAAAGAAAGAAAACTATGTCACACTGAACCTCACTAGGAAACTACCAAACAAGGGTCTATAAGCTTCAGAGTTAATAGAAGATAATCTTTACAACCTAAGGGCAGGGAAGGGCTTCTGAGACAAAAGTTCAACATATAAACCTTAAGGAAAGCATATTGATTAAGTTTGAGTCATCAAGATTGAGGGTTTTCATTCAGGGAAAGACAGCATTGACAAAGATAATGGACTAATAGAAGAATGATAACTGTTTGCAATGTTAAACTGACAAGGTATTAGTAAGTAGAATATATCAGGGACTCTTGAGAATAACAGGATGGAGATAGTAACCCCAAGGATGAGGCAAATGGTGTGAAGATAGAATTTACAGAAGATGCGGGGGGTTGGGGGGTGGCGGAATAAAGCGCATGAAAAGACGTTGAGAGTCTTTACTAACCAGACAGGTGTCAATTAAAACAGCACTCTTACATCACGTTAGCTCTATTTAACTAGCAGAAATTAAGAGGCTAGATATCACCAGGTGTTGATGGGGACGTGGGGATATAAGCAACCTTCTGCAGCATTGGTAGAAGTGGAGATAGTCGCAGCCAAGAGAGGGAAGACCAGAGCTCGAGGAATCCAAAGCAGCACAGGGGTCAGAGCCGTGTCTGCGGCCAAGGTCCTCAGGAGCGAACCATGCTTGCGCTGTTGCCTCTTTCCTCAATTAGTTTCAAATTCGAGTGTTGCTCCAGCCATTCTGATGTGCAGACACTCAGTTACCTACTGGGCTGTGGCTTCAAGAGAGTGGCAGAAATATAGGTTCTAGTTTCTGCCTGTACAGGGCAGGAAGGCACACTAGAAGGATGGAGTCCCACCACCTCCTGCCCAGGCAGGGTTCGAGCATGGGGATTTTATAAAATCTCCTCACACCGTCCTGATAGGTAGCCAGTGTTTTAAAACACTGCACCCAAAGGATATTGGAAAAGAGGCGGAAAGTGTTGATTTAGTTTCTCCATCACACCATCACAGAACACCTGGTGCACACTGGTGTTATTGATGTACTGTGTTCATATTGTTTGTCACAATACTGCAGGCCTCCTATAGCAAGAAAACAAATCACT